TTATCAGGTTTTGCGAACCATTTTATAAATGCTCTATGTGCCCTCCACCTGCTGTACGGACAACATCGAGACGATAGCTGAATTCTTCCCAAACGTCTCTCAAAGTGTCTTCTCTTCCATTGAAGTCTCTGCTGCCGTGATTTTGTTTTTGAGGTCATCCAGATTAGTCGTTAATGGTGGCACAAAAACACCACGGTCTTTGACGTATCCCCACGAGAAAAAGTCGCAGGATGTGGTGATGTCTGGGGATCTTGGGGGCCAAGAGTGTAGCGCCAAGTCTTGGGGTCCCGTGCGACCTATCCAACGTTGAGGCAGTGCGTCGTTTAGAAAACGTCGAACCCGCAGGTGCCAATGTGGCGGTGCTCCATCTTGCTGATGAAAAATGAAGTCATCGGAATCTTCATCAAGTTGTGGAAAGAGCCATTTCTGCAGCATTTCGAGATACGCTTGACCTGCAATTGCGTTTCCCTCGAAAAAGAAAGGGCCATAAACCTTCCTTTGAGAAACAACACAAAACACGTTCACTTTCGGGGAATTACGCTCATGCTCTACAGTTTCGTGTGGATTCTCTAATCCCCATAGGCGCACATCGTGACGGTTAACTTTACCGCTTCGATGAAACGTTGCTTCATCATTAAAAATCTAATGCGGTAAGAAGCTGTCGCCCTCCATGTTCTGTAGCATCGCATCACAAAATTCCACACGCTTTCCTTTGTCGCCTGCACGAAGAGCCTGTACCGTTTGCAACCGGCATGGCCGCATGATTAAACGTCGCCTTAACACACGCCAGACAGTCGTGTGAGGGATCGCAAGTTCTCGGCTGGCACGACGGGTGGACTTGCGCGGGCTACGCAGAAAACTCTCTTGAATTCTTCTCAGTGTTTTCATCTGAGGTGCGTGGTCGCCCCGTGCTCTTCCCCTTACATAAACAGCAGCCTGCTTCCTCAAATTGTCGCTACCAACGACGAATGCTCTTTGACATTGGCGGATCAATGCCAAAACGCAGTTGAAACGACACGCTGCACCGCAAATGTGGATTCAGTTTTTTGCTGAACTGCGGAACCCAAAACGCCCCTTGTGTCGCGGTGGGGTCACCGTCTTGCCAATGACTGAGGCTAGGGGCTGTTTGTGCGCTGGCAGTGGCATCTAGCGGTAATAATTTGAAACTGTATGCCCCGCCCTCTTTATGCCCCGCCCTCTTTATGCCCCGCCCTCTCAAGTGGTAAGAGTTCCATTCATGGCCGGTTCGTGGTTGCAGAGATATAGCGATTTCAAATCGGGGCCATCGTTTTAAAACACCCTGTGCAGTATATGTGGGCCCATGGCTTAGCAGTGGTCTCTATCCTAGCGACCCAGAACGATCAAGGATTAACCGACCGTGAAAATTCTTAGGATTCAGTTGAAGTTTCCAAGACTCAAAAAGTGTTTTCAAACGGGGAATACCTCCCAAATGCTGGACTGCGATGGTGCGTAAATTTGTATAGCAACACATTGATGGTGTAAAACATATAATTGCGGTTAACAATTCAGATACTTTTTCTGTTATGAACATTAATAACAGCTGATTTACTCAATAAAGGATTGTGATTGAAAACCTAAAACGAAGACACGTGTGAATGACTCGTGAAAATAATTATCATCAGCATTTGGTCAATTCACTGCTGGATGGCCTCCAAGCCACCGCCATCTCACGATCAAGCGATGATGTAATGATCCACAGAGCACCTCCAAACGAGAGTTTAAATCTCTTCATCTACACAATGCCCTCTTGAACGCGTTCAATTCCTCAACTGCCAGACAATCTTGACCATCCCTTCTCGTGATGTGTCCTACTCAAGCCCAGTTACTTTAACAAGTCTAAATGTTGCCATTAATCTGCGAATGTTCTGGAATCACGTGGCCATGTTCCCAAAACAGGGCTTTGGTAACTGAGTCCGGTTTTCAGAGGTGGCCACCACTCTCCTTATCTATTTTTATATTTATAGAGCGCGTTCACTCAAGCCGGTTAACATAGTCAAAACAAAATCGAATTATTTAAATGGCAGGGGAGTGCAAGGGTTGAGGAATGAGTGACCACGATAGAGGATACTTAGGGGTCAAGAAAGGGTAAGGGGCCGTCCATAAATGACGTCACGCGATTTTTGACCCCCCCCCCCCCATCGTCACACGGCGTCACAAAAAGTCAGACCCCCCCCTCAAATATGACGTCACAAAGCTTTGCCCCCCCCCCCGAATAAATAAAACATGCTTCAAATCGCTTTAAACTATTGTCATTGTAGCGCGTATTTAATGTGGCGCTGCACTCTGATGTTGTAGGAGAAAACATTTATTAAAGTCTATTTAATTAAGTAGAATGTGTTGTCTATAGTTATTTAAAGTTGCGCATTTTGACGTGACGTCACATTTCTAAACCCCCCCCGCCTCGTCACAAATGAGACAGGTGGGTTAAGGCTTTCATGTGCGTGGTGGGACGGAGTCGCCAAACAAATTAATTACGATTTTGACTTCTGTTTATTCGGGACCTCGGGGTCCCACCATAAGGTTCATTTGGCCAGCTGCCATGCTCCCCACAAGTCCTAAAAGAGGGCTTTACTCGCGCCACACAATCTGCTGATTTTAACTAACTGTGGTGTGCCCCATTTATACTGCTGGGTGGACAGAGACGTGGGATTTAAGAAAGTTTCCCAGGACGTCAAATCGAACCAGCAACCTCTGATTGCAAGTCCCGTGTGATAACAAATACACCACAACACATGTGTTGGCCGGGGAGTGGTAATTACGGTCATAGCTGCATTACGTAATGCCTTATTATAAGAGGGGCGTATCTGGGGTAAAGGTGAAAGGCGGAGTCAGTCGAGAAGCTCCGGGAAACAGCTAGAAGGATCTGGAAAGGGGGCGTGGCCAGAGGTGGAGCTGATCTTCTGAAGACTCTCTCCGTCGCCGCGCTGGTCGAACATGCTTGCGATGCGAAGCCGCAGATGGGGCTACGTGTCAGGATCGCCTATGTGTGGCTGCTGTACACAATGTATCGCCCAGTGTGCTCTTAAAAAAATAAAGCCTTCTACTCGACATGTCTCAGAAGTCGCTCACTACACACATTAACCTGATTTCAGATTGAGATTTCCAGATGGGATGCGTTTGATAACCATGGAAATCCGTGACAGGTCTTCAAAAACTGTCATCAGTAAGAGGAGCAAGCTGGGGCCCCATCCATGGAATTCCTTATTAAATTAAACCGAATTGCAGTGCACAGTAGAACCTTGTAAATAAGGATTAAACACCGTGTCTAGGTGGGTTTATTTAACTCTCATGATTACATTGTTTAAACATAATTATAGTTACTTACGGGGTAGAGTGGTGGAGCATTGATTTGCACAGTGCACTAACCCAGTGAGCTGAATTTTGATTCAAAGCCAGAGCTAAAATTAGTGGCGAGTGATATCTGAACCGGTGCTGAACACCACTGCACGAGCCAGCAAGGACGAGCGTGGTCAAGCAGCCTTAACCATCACACGAACTCTTAGTCATCCTCGCTGGGGCTTTCGCGGTCAATGCAGCGCGCACTTTCAGCTGCGCTTCTGTAGCCATCTACAACGCTCTCCCTTCCGATGTTAGGGAAGTCACTGGAGCTATGCACTTATAAATCTAGATTTTAAAACTCGTTTCTTTAGAAGTAATTTGTGTTTAGTTTGTTGTCGTTGCCCCGCACCTCTGATTAACATGGTTGGCTACCTACGGTGCGAAAGTTAAACATATATACACTAACAGCCCAGATGTCTGAAAGGTGCGGGGGGGGAGGCCTTCGTCCAAACAGTGGACTGATGCAAGTCTATGATTATTAATACACCACTTAAGAAATGTATTTCAGCCATTAAACACTATTTATATTTATTACAATTTCAAGTTTAGGAATTCAAATGATCTGCTGGTAGTCGACAGCGAATAAAGTTGCCAACACACAGCATTGTGGAGGCTGGTGTTTTAAAATAAAATGGGGAGGTAGGTTTGTCTTTACCTGCGACTATTGGCGTCAACAAAATAAATCAAAACACTGCCTTTGCGTGCCATCACATATTATCGAGCCGTTTTCTCTGTTGTATGTTCTTGTTCACATGACATGTTGTGCAGAGACCATAACGTAATTTTTGAAACAGTAACATGGTATACATTAACGTATCGGTTATTTAGCCTCTCGACGGCGTTGGTTGTTACCCGATGGAATTGGTTGGGTGCGGCTGTTCAACGGTCTTGATGGGCAGCAGTCGAGTATGAGTTTTTTTTAATGGATGATGTTTTACAGAAGTTGTTTGAGACAGTTTTACCAGTCCAGAAAAGGTGAGAACTGGCTGGACAGGATGCTCTTCACTCGCATTTGTGATTGCTGAAATTACACTTGGGGAGGGCATGAAAGGAGGTTTTTATTTATGTATTTATCAGTGAAGTTATTTTAATTCAGAACGATTCTGTAACAGATTGAGGATTATATATCCAATTCTATTTGTGAGATGACACAAATACTCAGCTTTTTTTTACAAGATCAGGGTGTTAACCAGACCAAAGGTTTGATGTGGGATGAGAACCTGTCCCTGTATACAATTGGACAAGGGTAATGTACCAACAACAACCGCCATTCGCCACTAAGTGGTGGTGACGTCACCACGACGCTTGTGCCAGGCCATGTGCACCTTGAGGCCACTTGAAGTGTCGAACGCCTGCTGGCAGGTCACGGGGCAGACCCAAGTGCCACGGGTCGACTGACTAAGATGACTGAGATGGCGCACCACCTGTGCCCCCTACTGTGCCAACCTGCTGTGCTTTAGCCACCCGGCGCTCCGCTCGTTGTTGTGAGCGTCGCTCCTCCACCCTCCGTTGTTGTTGGAGGGCGACTACCTCCAACTGCCCAGTAGCATCCTTCACGAGCCTCCTCCACAAAGGCCGATCTTGACACCGCTGGTACCAGTCATCGTACCGTACATAAGACAGAATATGGAGTCGGGAAGTTGATGGGTCAATGTTTATCTACCACATGGGTTACTGTGGGTGGTAGTTTTATAATACATTTCCACCACAAACCATTTAATCTAAAAGAGAAAGCGATCGACTTAATTGAACCAACTTCACTCAAAAGCAAAGGCAATGATGCAGCTGTAAAACTACATAGTATATACAGATGTTTACACTGGATCGTGATGGGCACACAAGATGTAACAATACAAAACCAGCAGCAAATAATTCCGGCACAGGTTAAGGTTAAACATGTACTTATTTAATTATTCAAATTCTACAAGTTAAACGGTCAAAGTATTTAATACTGTTCGTGGCCAATGTGGATTCGGAGAGGACGCTGCCATGGCAGTGCTAAAAACTCGGGTGCATAATGGAGAATGCCAGTTGGAGCGACACAGTTGAGTATAAATCACACGCATACATACTTTGCACACACGTACACAACTCATATATATAAACCCCCCCCCCCCCCCCCGTTCACCATAAAAATGAAGGGGAAAGTGTGGCATAGCACACTGGGGGATCATGCTTATTTTATGTCGAGTACGTCCAAGCCAGGTCCAGATACCACCTGTCAAGTGTGTGCATTACCAAGAAGATGCTCCACATATCCCCCATACACACAGATTATTCTACGGACAAATGTCACTGCTTTGTTAGCGAGCACCTATTCAAGTTGGTTGCCATGACGACTGAGGGGTTGTGTGGGCAGCACCAAGAGCGTCTGCCTGCTTTGCTCTCGGCAGTGTCAATGATGACCACACAGCAACAGGCGCGACTCGGTTCAGACCGAGCGAGCCCGGGGGACGCCTGGCCCAGGTTAATGTATCAGTCATAAATTCTGTATGCATTGTCAGCAATCGGCTTCGGATGAAAGCTACGACTGCCACGATGACACCGACAGTACACACAACGCAAAAAAACACGCACAAGCACTCACACAAGCATTTTTTTAACCAGCTGTGCCGCACGCGCACTATTAAAGGATTACGTTACTTAAATGTTGTCTCAAAGAAATAAGCTCCCGAGCCATCACCACTGCCATGGTGCAAAATTCCTCATACTTTACACCTCCCAGGTCCCCAGCAACGCGCTCATCGGGAAAGAGGATGGGGTTATAGATAAGCAGTGCTTGAAAGAGGAGAGGGGGTGGCGCACAGGGTTTGGGATACAAGGAGAACTTGTGTAAAGGAAAAGCAAGGGAAGGGATGCAAGAGGGGGGGGGGAGGGGTGCTTTGGGTGATGGTGGGGAACCAGGTCATGTCACGAACGAAACCCCACAATTGCGGAGGCACTATTCATGAATGCGATACTGCGCCGTAATGAACAACAAACCAAAAGCCAAGTGATGCAGTGTGGAAAAGCGACGTGATGCAGACTTTGGCCCCAGCTGCCAGTCATGAATTTGACATGATCTCCCCCCAGCCTTAACTCTCTTCCTATACACAAGCCATCACCATAACCTTGACAGAGGCCCTTGCCAAACGGAAGTAGTATTAATCCTCACGGCAAATGTTACATTTACCCAAAAAGCCTTATTCTAGTCCGAACAGTCTTAATCATAGATCAAAACATATTAAATGCTGATTTGAAGCTTTCGTGACTGCAGGAATCCATACTCTTTGGTTCTTTCGGTAAAGTCACGTAGTTAAAAAAAAAATTACTTTAACCCTTTACACCTAGCATAACCCATTAATCATAACCATAATTGTTGCCATACGTCTCAATTTCACCATAGTCCCAGTCATAATAAATCGAGGCTTCATTATTCTTATAACTTAAGCCATTACTTTAATATCGGCTCCCTGATCCCAATTACTTTCCTAGCATTTGGGCCACAGGCTAAAATACTGTTAATAACATTTGGTTAAGGGCTAGGATATTAAGTTAGGAATGAAGTCTGAGCACCCGAGTGAATTAGTGTTAGAGCAACAGGATTCACCCTCTCGGCTTCCACATGGGCCACGGGTCATAAATCAGTATTATCGTCGCCAGTTCACTTTTCTATACTGCAGAATCATGTTTGGTTTAGTTTTGCATTACACAGCCATGGTTTATGGAAATACATCATCACGCCCGGACTATATAAAACGAGGACAGCTTTGACCGTTTTTTTTTTAAAACTCAATTCGATAACACTTCAGACGTACATTTTGTGTTGTGACAACACATAACACGGCCAAGTATAATGTTGTTAAAAAAGAATGTATCTTACTTTTCTATCGCTTTAAAACAGTCTTGTTACTGCATACAAGAGGGTGCTGTGTTGTTTTGAAACATTTGAATAAAAACGTTTACAAACATTAACGCGCATCAGCCACAAGACGTGAGAAACGTTCACAAAAGATCTTGCAAAAACCACCAAAAGCATCAGTGTATATTGAGGGTGGTCTCTAAAACTAGCCGTTCAAGTGAAATAAGATAAAATACTCTTGATGGGCAAATTATTTGGTAAATGTAATTTTTACTCCCCGTAAGTCAATCGCGCCATTCTGGTCATCACATTATCTCTTGCAGTGGGCGTTACATCAATCTTTTCTAACAACAAAAGCTTGCCATCAGGCCAATCGGATTCGGCATAAGTTTAATTTTCGTCAACACTGGTGACAACTCTGGACACCAGATCGTTTTGGAATTCAGAAAGCATGGCTATGATGTCACAGCAGTGACTCAAACCCAAACTGTGTTCAAGTTTCACCTTTTTGCTCGAGGTCATCGGTACAGCATCTTTCCCTTGCTAACCTGCACTGCCATAAATGTGCGTGCGGTTTTACACACGCAAACGTCTAACAACATAGCCATGCTCTTTAAGAGTTTATTTCCAGCCGATTGGTGATACGTGCCGCAGTGGAACTTGCAGAGTATTTAGCGAAGTTTCTTGCAACCTTCCATTGTGGCATTTCAACCTTTGCCAATGTTGGCATAGATTGCTCTGCGGGTGTTAATATTAGCTTGCTTATGATAAAATACAAACAAATTTAAGGGATACACAGGCAATGTGTCATTTACACCTCTCCCCCACCCCACCACCACCAGTACTGTATAGTAAATTGCAGCTGTATTCTTTGGTTCTTTCGGTAAAGTCACGTAGGTAAAAATAATGACGGGCGCTTGTGTTGCGCCCGAAACGTCGTGATTTAATTTAGTTTTAATTTTTGTTTTATTTTATTTTTACCGACGTGACTTTACCGAAAGAACCAAAAAATATGGATCCTTGCAGTCACGAAAACTTCAAATATAGAAATTGCAGCTGGTTCCAACATTTTTTGGCAAAAATACCGAGCAGGGAGGTATAAAAATAATATTTTTTTACATCGCTGTTTACCAGGAGCACGTGGACACAACTAACTCAACTTATATTTAAGCTAAGAGATCAGAGGACAATGGTGGAAGGTCTGCACTCAGTCAAATGTTCAACTTAATTCCCAACTTCAGCTGTCTGTTCATTTCCTGCTGGGAGCTATGAAATTTATAAGTCGATGTTGAAGACCAGGCCGACACCAGCATTGGCAAGAATTGACCTCCAGGCGCAAATTTCAGATTAAATACCGAAAAAAATGGCAGCACAAAATTAAAATAATTTACAATAAAAATACTATTCATGTGTAATTGGGGAAAAAAAAATCAATAAATGCACTGAAAGCTAGAATTAGCTCGCTGGACGATAGCACTAAAATTGAGTTTGATAACCCCAAATACAAAATACAAGTTTATTTTTTCCAATTCAACAAGGTATTGGATTGAAGCATGCATCAACGGTTTGGTTTAATGGTGGTAATAAACAGCATTTCATGTTATCTGTAAGGCCCATGGGCTGATACCGTAAATGTTTTTCAGTGACTTCAAAAAACCATGTTACCTTCAATAATCCTACTATAAATACATTTAAAATACCAACCTTTGTAGTCAATTAAACGTTTTTGCCAATCAGGAAATTGGAATGTTGAAACTCTTATAACAGGAACTATTAATCAAATTGCCATCCGATGGCCCAACCCAGACCACTCACGAATGCAGACAACGCTCAGTTATCTTCATGGCAAAGTAATAGGGGTACCTAAAATATAAACAAATACAACATCTGCATGTGTAGCCAGAAGCTGGTTTACCCACTGCACACTGCTCATGTTTATTTATTTAATCAGAGCTGCATTATGCATAAAAAAGCAGTTTACTAACACTTACAATGTTGAAATCCACGCTTCGTTTGCAGGGAGGCAAACATGTTAACATTTTTCACATGACACACAGTGCGATAAATTACATATTTACGCTGCACAGTAGGGGGGTATAACAATTAACTGATTAATATCGATACATGCAATGAATCGTGTGAAAGAATCGATGTTTTTAAAATCGTGTATGTTGTACGTTATAAGTTCATGTCAACCCCGGCAGCCAATCCAGCCAACAGTGGCCGTGACATTCATCCCATGTGATTTGCTTTGCTGGGGCAGACATGAGAATTGTTGAACTCCTATTACTTGCCACAAATACTTGACATTTCCCACCGCCCCCACTAAACGATCTGGGTTTGTGAAAATGCAAAATACAATGCAATGTTCATGGAGCGTAATTGCACCGCATTAACACGTGGATAAAAATAATATGTATACATTTTTTTTGACAAACATAATATCTGTTTTATATGCAGTAGCAAGACTGAAACACAAACAGAAAAGTTGTATTTTTTTTTCAAACCTCCGTTTAGAAACACAAACATGAGTTTATCTGTTACAGAAATGTGTTTGTTTTTAAAACTTTACACTTTTGTACATCAAGGACGGATTACAGTGAATAATTGGGTTTAAGAGAGCAAAAAAAAGTTCAGATTACACATATTTACACGAGGGAGCAATAAAGAGCGCTACATTAATGTGAAAATAACAGCGAAACAAAACATAAAATTTAAAAATATATTTATATATAAAATGTCGCTCGGTAAATCTGTGAAGCATATGTTGGGAGGGACACTGACAAAAACACTTTTTTATTGGCATGTTTTTAAAGGGGTAGCATCTCAAACTATACAGCCTCCGATACACTTTGCCTAATCCAACCGCTTATTGGTGTGCTTATGTGCAGAAGCAAACCTTAAGTCTTAATTTTCAAACTGGAAATGTGGGCCTTCGTAGGAAAATAATATTTCTTATAAGTTTCAAATTGCATCACGAATTACATCTAAATTACGCAACCAGCGTTATGTTGTGCGAATAAACACTGTTGAAGGACCAACAATCAACAGAACTTCGTATCATCCTGTTGGGAAATGGCCCTGAGAGGTGACATTACAAAACTAACGCAATATGTTGCTATTTTCCTGGTACCAGAAGGTACTCAATTATGCTTTGTCAGGAATGATTCGCTGCATGGCAATCATCTGATGGACACATACAAATTACAGCCCCCAGAGCTGATGTCTATCAGTAGCCTAATGTTGTGTCAGTGACTGACAGCTTAGCTTAGATTCCTAGACGTGCCTCTTGCGGGAGGGCTGATGTCCATGTCTGTTCAGTGAACAAGCACTCAACATATCTCGGGTGAGAAACAGACGCGAACCCTAGATGCCAGGATCACAAATAAAGCGTATTTTTTACCCAAAAAATTTGTTGTAAGATAAATATGGAGCGAATGACTTGGTACTCCATACAGCTCAGGGAGGGGTAATTCTACTGGCTGTCGTAAATACACCATTAGGGAATGACAGGCAAAGCATTGTGATGTCACTTCCAGGATTTTTCCCCACACGTGCAGGAATTGTGATGTATCAACAATTTCCTAACACACCTAAGATACCGTTAGTACAATTGGGGCATATTTGGTATTTTTTTTCAAACCAGCATGAGTAAACCGTTTTAAAATTCAACCGAGGTCTAAAGAGAAGATGGAGGACGTATTCCTTGAACGGTGAGTGTGACAGCTCCATTAAAGCAAAAACTACAACCCCTTTAAAAAAATACAAACCGTCCACTTCAGTTTGAGAACAGATGACATTAAATCTCTAGTATTTTTTTAATAATAAAAAAACAGCTCATTTGTGGTCAATCACATTTAACAGCTGTCTTTGCACACCAAGGTTTTGAAACAAAGTGAACACAAAATTAATCACATGCATATACGATCACAGGTGCTTGACAAATGATCGAACACCTGCAGGAAATAATCTAATAGCTTGAATTCACCTCATTAGCACATCACCACCAGCAAATGGACTCAACGACTCCCAACAGCGCAAGTGGACTGTATGATTGGTAAACACTGCTAGATTGCAGACTTCAAATACTGTACTGTGGTCTTCTGTTTATTCTGCATACACTGTTAGGCAGGTGCTTTTGAAGAACTATTAAGGTCAGCATATAGTGTATGGTGGAGAGGACATCACCACACAAACCCAGCTACCTATATCTCCTGGCTGGTGAATCATGAATTGGGCCGAGTATTCATTTTAGACGAGTCGAACCGTCCCCCACATCTCCGATTAGCACGGTTGGCTACATACGGTGTGAAAGAACATGCACACCAGGTGCGATTTGCACTTGTGATAACCACCATAAGATATGGAACTTAGATTACTGGGAAGATAGCACAATGCTGAACCTAACAATACCACCACTACACAAGAAGCACCCACAGAGGATTGTGGACTTTATAGGATTACAAAAATCTACATCAGTGACCGGGGGGGGGGGACACACCATATTGCAGATGCACAGTGCACAGCAGAGGTAACACCAAATAATCCATGAAAACATTTTCACTCCAACATGGTGTGCCACGGATTATGGGATGAAAGAGCCACGCGATTCCGTGAACCTAAAACAATTACACGGATTACAGGGGCAAGCACGGTACATGACTATCGGCTAAATTAATTTACGAAAATTGGCGGATTGCAAGGTCGTGAGCTGTTTCTAAGATCCAAATGGTGCAACATCTGCTACGAGTCTCCTTGAATTGATATTCAAGGAAAAAAAAGCAGAAATCTTATTCTACAAAACAAATCAAGTCAGCACTGTTAAATAAAAAAATAAAATATTACCTCTGCATTTCCCTGCAGCATCACACCTACAGCTGTGTTAGCCCTAGCTATTTCTATAGATCACGGCTTGTGATCCACGGAGCATTTTCAATCCACTCGGGATTAGAGCAGCCGCGAAGTGCCAATAATCCGTGAATTAAAGGGATTTGTGGATGATTGAATTTCAAACTTTTGAATTTCTGCTGTATTCAGTATTTCTATGCTCGGCATTTTGAAATAAAATAAAAAACCTGCTGCAGACCTGGTCTACCAGCTCCAACTGAAAAATGATTTAACTCGGCCCATTTGTTTAACAATTATACAGTCCGCTGCCGGCTTAAAACATGACGATAATGGAAATAGAGGATGTGAAACCATGAATTCAGAAAGACAAACTAAAATGAATATGTCAATAATAGTTACAAGTCCAAATTAAACAAACACGATATGAAACGAGCCTCCCCAACACCCACCAGCCCAACCTCCCCTAAACAGACCCATCACGTTCACCAAAAATTGCACATTGCAGTTATTAGTGTCATGTTATCCAGTCTGCAAATATGCTAATACATTTAAATGATATGCCATTCTTTATCCATTTGGTGGGGAGGGAGGGAGGGAGGGTGGGTCATATGCTTCACGCTTCATAATTCGGCAGATACACAACTGTTGAAGTCAATTAAAACAAAAAAGCCCCAAAGTAAAAAAAAACTACAGTACTTACAAGATAATAAAGTTAAGCTTTTTTTTTTTCTTCCACAGTAGAAGAAACATTAGAATCAACTTTTACAGGCGACTGCTCCTTGTAGCATTGTGCTCATATATTTAAAAAGGCAAAAGCAAATTTACGGGAACGGTCCAGGCTGGCAGAACACATTTCTTCCACAAATCTTAGAATTATAAGGTGCCTTAGTCTATTGAAGTATTGTGCTTTGCCATTTAATATTGAACATAGCCGAGATTGGAGTATCTGCACTTGCAAGCAAAGTGCCGGAACATGCATTATTTACTGACAGCTTATTTCCTTTTTTTATAGTAAAGTTCTGTAAAGAACACATTTAAAATGGATGGTGATTCAAATATTTTTCATTCTCCAGAAGGTCAAACTAGGAAATAACAGCTTATCTTTGGCATTACATTCACAGCAATTGTCATGGTTGCTAATAAGATCTATTATGAGATATGCATGTGAATGTGGGGGCAACTAAAAACGCTTAAACTTCTATAGTTGTCTATCACAAGTCATGAAATTGAGCCTTATTGCTTGTTGGGCCCCTTCCTGCTGAAATAAATAGAATATATCTAAAATGTATCTTCATGTTGGCTGATACAATGTTGTAGTTTATCATTGGGCCTGTAATATTATTTTAAGCGAACCAGATCTGGAGGCCATTTGCATCGGTTAAGCATACAAATTGACGAATTAACGGTGGCCGACCTGGTAAACAGTTCGGATATATGAAGTCTCATAACCATGCAGCTGTTGTTACTACGTCCATTAATAAGCTGCATGTGATAAAAGAAAAACTCAAATTATGCAATATATAAATGAACAACATTAACATAACTCCATGTATTACACTCATGGCTAAGCTTCTCCAAATTCAAACGAGGCTTTAGCCCTGCTCATCTGTCAACCAATGGTGGGGAAATGCACATTTACTGTTGCAAGAACCATTCCAAAAGTCATTAAACTTCTCACAAAGGTACTCATTTTAAATAACTTTGGAGGAATGATGGGCTGGATCAACATGATAAATTGGTTTGACTTGACCAAAGTACATGAGAAAAGCATCACCAGTAAAAGTTGATTATTATTCAAAAACAAAACATTTCCTTCAACATCACGTTGATGTCACTAAAGCTCGAGGTGGAGGCTTAAATGTCTCTCTGCTACATTGTCTATAGGATACATAATAACAGCACATTTAAAAAATCGAGAAAATAAAACCACGGAGGAAAAGAAAACGCGAAAATAAATCACATCACACTCTTTCAGAATCCGAGCACGCGATCGACACGATGCCACCGCCCAGCGAGAAAGGGAGTTCATTCACAAGGCCCTGGGCTCTGGGAACCAAAGCAAAACCCCACCACCATCGCCACCACCACCACCACCACACCCAGTCACCCTGCCTTGTCTCGGACTAATGTTAGTGTGCCAATGCCAATTGCTGTTGCCCGCGTGGTTAGAGAAATTGGCACAATGCTGCACCAAATACTGTTTGCCAAAGCGCATAAAGTATCAGAATTTGGAGAGGGTGTGGATAACTTTTGAGGTTAGAAAGAGATCCTAGTGTGTAGCTCTAGCATGGGATTATAGCAGACGAAGTCAATTATAAGGATGCCAGGTTATTTGTAGCTCTGCAATGTGTTTTTGGGTTGTACCGCATATTTTTTGGTATATCTGAAATTTTGTTCCACTTGCCAGGGGCTTCAATGGGAACAATTCACAAATAATTAAGTTCCTACAGATGCTCCCAGCACATCGAGGGAAACGACGGATATCCATGTTGAACAACACCTGGTATTACCTGAAAGCACATTGGACAGCTACACAGCACGCAACCACAAAAGCGTAGTACAGTTTGGTTTCCGCAATTTATCGACATTTCCCCCACTCGCATAAATGAGTTATGCTTCAGTGGCATACGTTTGAGAGGGTGTGCACCACAAACCATGGGATTCAACATATCAAATAGAAATTTCCTCAGTAAGGACACATAGAACTCATGCCAGGTGGTTGAAGATGCAATCTAAGTCTCAGCAATGTTTTGCGGCGGTATTTCGAATTGTCTATCAGCTTTTGTTTTCACTCGAGCCCTTCATTTAACTATGATAGCCGGCTGAGATTCATTTCTCCAACTTGCAAAAGGAGATCTGGATGAAATGCACTTATGCGGATAGATTTTTCATGGATTTTGTACAGGGTTATTCCAATGTCCTATTCTGATAATATAAACATATAAATGAATATAACAAGTAACGTGAGCGAATATAGTTGCAATATACAGAATATTAAAACAAATTAAAACTGGCAACGTATGCAGTTCACAAATCACAACATTTACTTTGAGTTGTTGTTTTTCAAGAGCGTCAGTGTGTGCACTAGGGATGGGGTGTTGGATTTATAAAAATGCAGATTCTGATATTTTTATGGAAAATTCAATATGCTAAAATTTCGGCGGCCGTAGCTCCCACGGAGGTCTTCTCAGCGCTTCGCGGCGCCGCCTGTCAACATGCCCTTTTCTTCTGCCCATCCCCAATGTGTGCAGACATTACTGACTAGTGTATGTAGGGTGTGAAGGCATATATGCCGACAAAAAAACATTTCTTTTGGGGGGGGGGGGGAGAATTTATTTGTGGGGGGGGGGGTCGACAATCTTTGGAGACCTGTGGGATCCATTTTTTACCACATTTGAGGGGGGGGGGGGTCCACTTTCTATACCTTTTTGATTCAGGGCTTCTGAAATGCTCTTATTTAGTTGATAAAAGGAACGCCGGGCTTTTATAATGGATGGACAGGAATCACATCATTTGTGGTGCAAACTGCTGGACTGACCATTGTCTCAAATCTGCATTTCCGCATTCAGCCTAAGGGACGCCCTCAGGGAAAATGGCTCGCAAGCGGCTTTAACATTGAGGTTTACAAGGGAGCCGGTTAGAGACCCTCTGTGAAAAGCTAGATAGCCAGCTAGATTCCATCAACTTTGATCACAATAGTGTCAAGGAGAACTGGACATCCTTGAGGGATGTTGTCTACGTCAATCCCTCGAATGTCTTGGATCCACCACTCACAAGCGTTAGGATGTTTGATGAAAATGAGATAACAGTCCGTGGTGGGTGAGAAACATTGGCGCCATAAAGAATACCATGACAAGATGTCATCCCCAAATAAAACAGACTTCAGCAACATACGCAGAGCTGTCCAGGTTAGGCTCAATAGATGTAGGACTCCTGGCTTCGTCGGGAAGCAATCACATTCAATGTTATGCCGATATAAATTACATGAAGTGCTTCTATGACGTTGTAAAGACAGCCTACGGACCACAGGTCAGAACCTTTCCTCTCCTTGGTACAGATGGGTCCACTCTGATTAGAGTTCTTTGACAGATGAGCAGAGTGTTCCTTTTAACGGGTATTTGTCGATCCACAAAGAGGAAATCACCCGCATGCCCCAGGTTGAGGTCAACATGTCACTTGCTGATCCCCACCACCTTAACTAAAACCATGAAGGCTATTAGCCTTCTGGCAAGATGGATGGCACCAGGATCGGATGAATTTCCATCAGAAATATACAATGTAGGTAGGTTGTGCTTGGGTTGAGCTCAGAACATTTTCAAACAATTCTGAGCAGCGCCACACTCTTGTCAGGTCGCGCAGTTGTTCCGCCAAGCCATCATCAACTTCTTGCTCCAATCAATCGTGTCGCTGCGCCACTCACTCCAGGTTATCAATGTCCAAGGGTCCCTTGCTGGTTATCAGCCAGTGGCTTGCTTTGGTGGATTTCTGTTGCTCATTGGCATTCACCTAAACACTGCCCCTTCCTCGCTCTTGTGCCCATCTAGGCAAACTTTACTCAACCAACGCTTTTACTCACCTCTAGCATTCCGTCAAATTTCCAGTCTTCAGAGCCACTCATTAGTCACAACAATTTTCGTTAATGCACCAGACGTGGATGCAGGGGAGGGCATAGCCGAGACAAAGTGCCTCAAGTCGGTCCCTAATTTGAGTGTATATTGCTCCAGGTTTGTTGTGCACTCGTGATCTGTTTTCCTTTTTGATGTTCGTGTTGTGTATTGGGTTTTAGAATAAAAAAACCCTACAACATCGAATGTTAAACAGATTTATATTTATATTTCCAGTTTAGCAAGGGGCTCCATCTGCTGGATAACGTGCACATTATAAACTATGAGTATTCAGTTGCTGTAAAACGTTGGTTGGTCATTAGATACACCATTGTGAACCATCTTGGTTGGAAACCGAAATTATCCTATGGCTGGGGAAGCAGTTTCAGGTTGATGTTGAGGTTAGCAATCAATTCGGCTTCAGGTGAGGCAGAGTGAATTGTTGTGATGTAACCAGGAATGGGATTGTTTCTCTGGGCAGGAGTTCAGTTTGTGGACGAATGTCTGACTTGGGTGGCCAGTCACAAATTGGGCTGCTCCTCATGTTCCACTTGGTGAGCAAGTGGACACATCTTCCCTGGCCTGTCCTCATGTGGTTGAGGGTTGTCCAAGCTTTCCGTGGAAGGATGAATACAATAACCCATCACTAAATCTAATTGTTTGCAGGTGCTTGGTGGATTGTCGCATCACAAGACCGTGAGATATGGCTATGGCTTGGGGGTTAACGATTGATGTTAATGATGATTAAATATAAAACATTACTTGAAGCATTCTTGTTTAGTGTATGGTTGTTTACGTCCCCATTGGAAAATATACAAATAATCTAAATGGGTTCTCAAAAGGTTAAATACAATTTTTGTACCAGTAAGCATTAAAATCAGGGTTAAGGAAAATGAAACTGAAATAAATAGGTGAATCATGCGTTTTCTCCATGCGCTCCTCATTCCATTTGCAATAAAGAACGAACAAGGCAACCTGCCAAACATCCAATGCAGGAGCATAATCCTCAAGTTCTCAATAGTATGACGTTTTTTTATATATTTAATTGTAAATTTAAGTAACTGCAAGTGTAACAAACCTATTACAAAACGTAATTAATTCTGTATTATCTGAAAAAACTGCTAGAATTGAAAAACTGACATCTGTGCAACTGTTACAAGAGAGTTATTTCAAATTTTTAAATGTCAATGGTTGAAACATGAACAATTTTTTTTTCAAACATGTAATGTGGAAAACTAATTTATAATGTAAAACCACACCGATTCATACAATCTCAAACATTAGATGATGTATAAGTTGAGATGGTAGAATATAAGGCTTCAGAACAGAGAGATATAACAATTAAGCATTTCCAAAAAATGCTTGTTCCCATTTGCAATTTGCATTTCACAAAATTATTTAAGTAGTCTACATTTTATATTTGATTTTACACTTGTAACAATTAAAATACTAAATTACTTTCATCATATCCTTAAAATATAGCTCTTCAGCATTTCTTATTTGTTTTCACAATGGAGCTCTTTCATGAAATTTACGTTTTGGCAGCATGTAACTAAATGCACTGCAATTAATTTTACAATGTACACCTACTCTGGTGTTGACAAGCTCCAAAACACATTTTTAAATACAAGGAAACATGCCATCTGGTATGTTGTAGCAGAGTAATGAGACCCATTCGAGTGGTTTTCCTCTTGTTGCTATTTTTTAGACCACGGTCAATTCGGCTCCAGATGCAAATGGAGCAACAGCATGGTTATGTTTTAGGCTGGGGTGCACGGAGGGTGGGTGGTAATTGGGAGTAGCTGATGGGCGACTGCTGAATCAATTGTACACAAAGGAAGAGACAGCTGATGGGCAGGGTTATGTATGCCCGAGGGAGGAGGGTAGGTGGTGGTTAACAGTGGATTGGGTATGACTTTTCCCCACACCACTCGCACACCTCAAAAGTCCGAGACCAGGCCATCAGCGAGGCCACGGGACCGGCTAAACGCAGCTGAACGCACGCACATGCACCTACACCAGCTCAAAGACACGCACTGATGCATGCACACTTCCAATCCCGCTCGCTGCTGTAGTTGTTATCACTGTGATCATAACAATGATTTTTTTCCACTTGAACAAACTCAATATTCTCTCAATCCCAATGTGGCAAAAACGTATGATATATTACAAATTAAAACTTTCAAACTACACGAAAACATTACAATCTTTTTTTTTAATTTTGTTTAAAATGTGGTTAACTATTTTTTTTTCCATTAAAAATACAAATGAAACTAAAAAATGCACACAAATACAAGTAGACCTCAGTCAGTTTATGTTTTTGTTGCTGTTGTTAGTAATAGTAAAAAAAAAACAAGGAAAAAAAGGACTTGCTTCAGTTTCTCTCAAAATGCTTGTAGTGTTGAATGTGGATTTTTTAAAGTGGGACCCCAGGTGTGATTCCATCCTCACTTCAGATCCATAAAAATCCCATCAGATCGTCCTGTCTGCTGGGGATGGAGGTAGACACAGGGAGAAGAGAAAGGATAGAGAGATGCATAATTACATTTTGGGTTAGATGTCAGTAAAAGTTCCTTAAACCCTTCCACCACCCACCCAACAGCCATTAAATTAAATTTTTACAAAAACAAATGTGCCAATTTTTTTACTGCTTCAGCACTCCGGTATGTTGGAGTGTTGGAGAGCAATCATTAACATTTAACAATTGGGTATGACCTTTCGCTGGTAGTTCTACTAAACTAACTGAAACTATTTTTTTTATTTCACCAGATAAGGCACAATGAGCGAAATAGCTCTTTTTCAGAAGCTACTTCTTCCAGATTGGTGGTCCTGAGGCAGTGAATGATATCTCATTATTATGGCAGGACCAAGGCTTTCCAAATAACTACTCTCTTTACTTTCTATCATGTGACAAGTCACCAAAAGGGAACTCAATTTTACCAACCCCAGCAATACGAAGCCAAATAAACCCAAGCTGTTCAGACTAAGAGCTCTCCTACATGATTACAAGTAGAGCTGGAACAATTAGTCAATGAACAATTGTCATATAATAGTTTGATCTTAATCAATTACTCAATTACCTATAAAAAAGGCGGCCACTCCAAAGAGATGTCGCCTCAAAGGCAAAAACGAGATGTATAAAAGTGTCATTTCTGAATCAAATGACGATTCCAGTATCACGAAAACGATGAGAGAGGATGAAATCATTGCTTGCCTAGTTTGTACACTCACGATGAAACGCCAATAACGTTGAATGATCTCTAAGGGTTAATGATGCTTGCACACGTACGCACGTTCGAACACTCACCTACTGACCTAGAAGGCAGAGAAGTAAGCTTGCCTCATATCCGTGGGCTGTGCTGGTGGAAGCACCTCGGCTGCGAGAGAGACAAAGGTACAATGTGGCAAGAGTAAAGCGATGTTGGTACATATGGAATTTCATTCGAATAAGCAAATGCTCATGACGGCCACAACATCATTTTTAAAGACGTCAATGTCTCACGCGTGTGATATGCATGCAAGTTCCCCGAGCCAGCACCTCAGACACCGGATATAAACTAGAGGTGGAACAATTAGTCAATGAATTGACTAAAAATGTAAATCAACGATTCTTTTTGTGGTTGATTACTCAGTTTCTTTATAAATGGCGTCTACCCCCACATTCTGCCTCCCAAAATCGAGCAACCCTTTAAGTGGCTCACAATGTTGAGGATATCACTATGCCTTGCCCATAACCATTAAAAAGCATGCATGGGAACAGATGTGTGACTTTTTAGCAATTATTTTCGTGTTTGATTAGTCAATTGAACCAATAATTGGCACAGTAATTAATTACTTAAAGAATTGGAAAGCCCACCTCAAGTTTAAAATCAAGACCATCACTCACAATAAAACAAGGTTCTCAAGCATTGACAGTATTATCCCAGTCACTGGTAAATGCACCAAAATAAAAAAAATATTAGGTACTTCACTTAAATCGATCTAGCTGAAGTCTACATTTGAAAATACATACTTTGCTTCTCAGAATATGGCAATTACCCAAGGTGTTAGTTTAATCTATACCTTTCAAAATGTAAGGCAGTTTGTCAATGATAACTGAGGAAAGTATTTTCCATGTATGCTTCTACACTACTGCTAAGTAAATTAGCTTTGAAAAAGATTCCGTTCTCGTTTGCTATTCAACCATTTAAACTGCAAACATAAAATGTAAGCATAACCTGTCGTCTAGATGATGACATATGTTAAGTACAGGAGACTAAGAGTACATGTACCATGTAAAATACATTGCATTCTACATGGTGACCCTCTGGATTGCAAGTCCAGGCAGCTAGCCATTGCACCACAGAAGCTCTCAATGAGCCTTTGCATTGCTGTCAAGGGTGCCCCGTTTACTTTTGATGCAGACGACAGGCGCCGACGCCCCTGTCACGCCCAGCTGGCCTGTCTGCTGGACAAGCGCCGATCCCCCGGCCGCCTGCGCGGCCTGCGCTGCCTTGTGGCACGCGTTGCACACTGCGTGCGAGGCGCCTGCAGCCGCGGCCCCCTGCTGCTCGCCCTGGTGAGCGCCGGCAGCGGCGGCGGCGGCGGCGGCGGCGGCGCGCCCCGGCGTGGCGCGTGTTGGCTTTCCGCACGAACGGCACGGCACACGCTCCTGGTGCCGCACCATGTGGGCGCGCAGACGGTCGCGCGTCGCAAACGCCGAGTCACAGGTCTGTTTTGGGGGGGGGGGGGGTTATCGCCAGGGAGGGTGGTACAGATGGAAAGATATTGGTGGGAGGAGGGGTAGGGAGAAAGGTTCGATGGGGGGAAGAGAAGGGTGACTAGATTAAGGATAAGGATTTTCATTTACAAGGTGCTCACATGCCTTATGCTACTCAAAGCGCCTTACATCTCACCTGAAGCACTCCAATAACCTGCTGCAGTCATACCAAACCAACCCCCATTGGCAACTGTCCCTGTGTGGCACAAGGTGTAAGCAGGACCGGCCTATAAATGAGCAGGATTCAGATTTTTCCCAATCAAGTATTTTCCAAATAATGTATCACATTTTGCAACTCAAAGATGTGTTGAATGTGGAGAGTTGAGGATTTTTTTTTTTACATAATCCACACAATGGCGAAGCGTGGTTGGCATGCAAGGAACAAAATGGGGCCCCTGTCCAATATCTACCCCTCTTCATAGAATGGAATCTGGGCCCAACCTGCATTTGGGGCCCAGCGCAGTTGCACAGCTAGTAAGTAACAGCGATAACTACGCCACTGAAAGTACATGTTCTGCCACTTTATCAATCAACTGCTGGATGAGGGCCTTCCCATGCCATGATGGTCATAGGGGTTATGGATCATACTTTCACCACACTGGTCAGTGTGGGTTGATACAAGCAGAAAGTACAAGTGTTGGAACACAGTAGAGAACATATGGATTCTGCAACACTGCCCTCTGCTGACATTTTATAAAACAATAACTATTCAAATATTGTATACAAAGGAAAGCCTCACTTTTAATAGTAAATGCTTAATGGGCTCAAATATGCATGTAATGATGCATATTCATTGATTCATTTAACCAAATATATTTTCAAGCTCAGAAAACATGTATAAAATAGCACATGAATTATACAAATGACATGCAAACAATGTTTCAATTATTTTTAAGCAAATTCAGTGCAAATTGTACAAACAAGAGAGATAAATGAAAAACAATACACATGAGAAGGTAAAAACACAAAAAAAGAATGGATCCTCAAATAAAATTGCCACCCCCATAGAGTGACCATTCATAAACTTACCAGTAGGTGAAGCATTACATAATCATAAAAAAATATAACATAAAACAATAACATCGTCTCGCGGAGTCTCACGACTATTTCAAAAAGGGTCCTGCATTTGATGTTGAGCTAAAAAAATAACTTTTTCTAGGCATAATTAAACTCGGTGTGGGTGGAATACAGAGGCACGCAGAAAGGTCTTCAGTCAGACACGCATGTTGCAGTTGGAGTGGCAGAGGCTCACTGATGGGAGGGACAGGTGACAAACCCCGTTGTTGCAGATGGAGCTGTCATGGCACACTGACAGGTCAGAGGACAGACCCATGTAATTGTAATGCGGGTGGAGGAGGTGAAGGCCTATGAACAGGGGGACACAGAACAGGCGCGGGGAGAAATTTATCAGAGCAACTGTGTTTCGGCCACGCAATGCTCAGCTCATTCCCGTGAGCATGTTTGTCCGATATACTGCCGTTGCTGAAGAGTGGTTGCAAACAGCTACACTGCTAAACCTTTCCCAAGTATCCTAAGACAGTAGGTACTAGCAAGTGGCAAGTTCTCTCAGCTCTAGGTGCTCCTATTCTGCTCAGTAGTGCACTCAAAGGCACAACCACGCACGCTGGCGTGTGTGTATATGCACGTATGGCCAAATGCATTAAGATATAAACGCACATAAAGGGGTGAAGAGATCGTCTGAAGCGGCAGAGGAAGACCTGGTGCTGAGTGGACTTGCAGCAAGTTGGTATCAGCGGTGTCAGGATCAGCCTCTGAGGAGGCGGAAGAGCGATGCTCACAACAAGCAGGTCGGGTGGCTAAAACACAACTAAATGGTACTATGGGGAGTACTAATGGTAGACCTACCACCTAGTTACCTTACCCTGAAGTACCTATCACCTGGGACCATCTTGTATTAAACTTATTTTCATGAGCCTTCACCAATAAATGTGGCCTCGAAGTGCACCCACCATTGTGGCTAACGGTGGCTGCCGATGAAGCATGTTGCGATTAATTGATTGATCAATCGTTTCTGCTCACAATGCATGTATTGAATCACGCATTTAAGATATTTGACTTTGAATATGTGCACGCATTATATTGTTTCAATTGGACTAATGGAGCGAATTAAACCAAAAATCCACTCGATATGAGACAAATAAGACAACATGATATACAAAAGATACAAAGGATGAAGAACAAATATTACAATTAAGGCAGACAGTTGATATGGTACAAAGACAACATAATTTGTGCTTTTGTCTCCGAGGCTAATAGGGATAATCGGTACAACAGACACAGAAAACAAGAGACGAAAAAATTGAATTCCAAAATTGAATTGTGACTGAATGGTGAGAATTCATTGAATGGCGGGGGTGGTGAATCATCTCAAAACTGTCTGCATTCGTTTGAGACCTCCAGGAAATTGCTAATGTTGTAATACCAACGGCGTACGGTGGACGGCGATACCCGACAGTCAAGACAAGCCTAATCGCGACGTTGCTGTTGTTGTTTGCGTGTAAATGGATACCGGGCATCTGAAGGGCCGCTCCGTCGAGTGCACGCGCTTCACGTGGTTGTTCAGGTGGTCGCGGCTGAGAAGACACAGGAGCAAAACTCATATTGGGTACCCAAGGTCACTCTTGGCAAATTAAGACTATCCTGGTCCCTCAAGTTTTCACGTAGTTAAACAAATTAAACTTGAAACATTTCTAATAAAAAAAGAAACACTGCAACATCGACACAAACATCTAACTCAGCAGTCATTACAAACAAGCAGCAGGCTCTGTCTCAGTCAATAAAGCTCCATGAGAGCTTTGCCAGCAGCAGGAAGTTGTTACCAAAATATAGTGCTCCAATGAGATGCATATTAGCCACTGCCACTACTCTTAGAATGTCTGATATGTTGTTTTAGTTTGTCTGAAATATGGTTTGATGCAACTTCGGCTAGACCACCAAAGTTCTTAAATACACTCACTATTAAGGTTTTGCTTTCGTTTGTATTATTAAAGTAATTATTATGGGAAGTTATATTATTGTTGTGGTTGTGTCTGAGTGCATCTTTTACTAATAGCCTCCCAGACATCACCAGCATGCAGTGCTATCACGTGGCACTCCCCTTTTAGCAATGGCCTAAAACGGGAATATTTTAGTAGTGGGTTTGTAAATTTGCATGCGCTCACGATTTGAATGACAAGAGCCTCCGATTAATCTAAGCCTTGTATCTTTAGATAAAGTGTGGGAAAAAAAGATTGGGAAAGAGCAATAAAGATGTGATCCAACACGCATCTCCCTGCGGGAGGAGCTCAAAAAACACACACGCGCGTGGCTGTGCCGTGCCGTGGGCTCACCGGGAGAACCGCTTGTCGCAGGCAGGGCAGGCGTAGGGCCGCTCCGGACCACCCTCGTGCGCGCGAACGTGCGCGCTCATGCGGTCGAGCCGCTTGAAGCGCTTGTGGCACACGGGGCAAGAGTGCGGCCGCTCCTCCGAGTGCGACAGCTTGTGCCGGTTCAGGTGGTAGACGTCGCGGAAGGCCTTGGTGCAAACCTCGCACACGTGGTTTTTCTTGACAGGGCGCCTCACTCCGTTCACTGCAGACGCGCCGCTCCGTGACTTCTTGCCGGTTGGCGCTGCCGGAGCTGTCCCGGCTGCCGCCACTGTCCCAAACGCCGGCTGCCCCGCACTCCCCACTGTGCCCGACGCGTCGAAGCTCTGCTCCGAGCCCGGGATGAGGCCATTGCTGACCATGGCCACATCCACTGTTGTGAAATGCTGCTGCTGCTGCTGCTGCGAGGCCTGTCCACCAAGGTGCTGCTGCTGATGGTGATGCTGCTGCTGCGCAAGCACGGGTTGTGCCGACGTCTGGTCAAAGGGTGTCACGCCGGCGCTCGTCATCACGAAAACGGGCATGGTCAGAAAGTGTGCCGCTGCAGCCGCACTACCGCCCCCACCGCCTCCGCCCCCACCGCCCCCGTCCACGCACGGCTTGCCGTAGGCGTACTGCGCCGCGCTCGCGTTGCCGGCGGTAGTTGCCGCTGCCAGCAGATGGTGGTGGTGGTGATGGTGGTGGTGCTGCTGCGACGCGCTCAAGTCGCCGGCTCCCGCCGTGTGCACCTGCTGCTCGGCCGACGAAGACGACGATGCCGCCGCTGCCGCGGATGACGCGAGCAGCTGCGCGGGACTCACAATTTGCCCGGCCGTGGCGATGATCTGTGGCGCACCACCTGTCGCCAGCAGCCCTGCGGGGCTAGCCGCCGCGATGATCTGTGCCGTCGGTGTGGCCTGCGCCAGGATTTGGCCTGCGGTTGCACCGCCCGCTGCCACCAGCTGCCCGTTGGGATGCGCAGCGGCAATGAATGCCTGCGACGAGGACGACGTGCCAGCACTGCCCGCTACCAGCGATGCTGAGGAGCCTTGGCCCTTAATCTTGGTGCGTGTGTGCGTCGCCTCGTGCCGCCTTAAGTGGTAGCGGTCCTTGAACTCCTTGCCGCAGGCGGCGCACACCAGCCGCGCCTTGGTGCGCGAGTTTGCCTGCTGCTTGACCTGAGACGGGGTCACTTGCTGCCCTCCAGCTGCCTGTTGCCCGTAGGTTCCGTCAGACGACGCCCCAGCCGAGGTGCTCTGGTAGCTCTCCTGCTGCTGTGTTGTTGCTGCAGCAGCGTAGGCGTCGCCCTGCCCGATTGGCGGCTGGGTGGCGACCGCCGACTGATCGGCGCTGGAGGGGGCAGGCGCCACCCGGACCTGTGGAGGTGGGGGTGGTGGTGGCGGAACTTCGGTCTGGACTGATGCGGGATCGACTGTACGCTGCTGCTGTTGCTGCTGCTGCTGTTGTTGTTGTTGCTGCTGTAATTGTTGCTGCTGCTGCTGCAGGGCATCAGTGCCACTCCCGACTCCGACCACCGACTGCAGCATCTGCATAAGGTCCTGTGGCTGCTGTGCCACGCGGTTCAGCTGCGGGAAACACGACGAGCGCCTGTTAAACGTGGGATCACTTTGCTGAACTCACTTCATTTTAATTAATGAACACAACATTAATTTGCAAATGACCAAAAGACCATTAAGAATTCAGTGTACATTACAGTGTCGGTGGCTTAATAAAACTGGGATATTTTAAGAAATACATTGAGATGCTATTTCATGGATCAATTTTGTCAAATTCTAAGGCATCACAATGACTATCACTGCATTAAAGAGTCAACCGTTCTAAAAGTAAGTCATTCGGCCCTTTATCTGCTATGGAGAAAGGCCATTGCCCATAACTTAAACCTATTATATATTTTTCTGTCACACAGCATTTGTTAATGACAAAGGTCAAGTAAAGATACAGCCCTGCGATTAATTTATCACAGCACTGCTGGCAGAATGGCCTCCCTAGAGTGAGCCTAAGTGCAAACATTGAGTGGACATTTTGCCTGCTCTGCCATGTTGGCCAAGGTAGCGAGATATTAACTCCCTTGCCTAGAGTATATACAGGAATTCATATTCTTAGTTTTTCGGTAAAGTCACGTTGAAGAGAAACAACAAAATAACAAAATATATATAAAACAATAAAAAATTCTCACGACGTTTCGACCATAACTCAAACGGTCATCATCAGGTGTGTCGGTTTGCATAAATTTATTTTTTCAAAATAAATTTATGCAAACCGACACACCTGATAAATTTATGCAAACCGACACACCTGATGATGACCGTTTGAGTTATGGTCGAAACGTCGTGAGAATTTTTTATTGTTTTATATATATTTTGTTATTTTGTTGTTTCTCTTCAACGTGACTTTACCAAAAAAACTAAGAATATGAATTACTGCAGTCACGAAAGCTTTAAATCAAAATTTATATACAGGAAGTCGTGGGTTCAATCCGGGATTCGACGCCTGTATATTTGGAGTTTGCATGTTCTCTCCGGTCCTCCAGTTTTTCCCTCCACATTTATAAACATGTGTTTCGAGTATTTAGCTGCTGTAGGGTGGCCAGAAAGAGGAGGATTAAAAAAAAATGGCCTATTGTTTGAATGACACTGATATTGAGTTTTATTTTTATGTGAGCATTGCTTTCAGTATTAGTCATATTAAAAAAGGGTTACAACCGCTATTGTTTAATCAATTAATGTATATTTGTATAGATAACCTTTATTTATAACTAGCTCTCCTTAGGGAGACGTAAGTTACAAAAACAGCTAAAATTGTCTATACAATGGAAAAAAAATACAATTGAAAACTCAAAAGTAATCACGTGACATATTATGATGCCTATATAACCACTTGAGAGCGTGTGATGATTCATTAATTATATATGTGGTTTAATGAAGCCCTCTGGTACTGAATTTAAATAGGTTGCCTGGGTGATGGTGGCCGGGTCACTTTTAGGAGTCAAAGTGTAGCTGGAACTGCTGAGATCCTGGGTTCGATTGCAAACAGGCTCCTCCTGTACTAAGCCAGGTTCTAAAATGGAGTGAGTTGGTGGTCTCAGCCCAGCCACCAATAAAATCACAAAAACATTGATGTTACATTAAATTCAAATGTAATTTTCAAAAATTATCGCTCAAGCCAATTAAAAAGTAAAATGTTAGATTCAATGATGTGGCATGAATAGCTTACAGTATGGATAAGAGGTCACTTGAGTGGATCTAAGTCATTCTGTGCTACGCAACTTCTATGATCCATTCGCTAACAAAAAAGGCAATGCATTGCCATGCGAGCATTTTAAAAGGCACAAAATTGTTCAAAGATAACATTTCTTAAAAAAAAGAAATATTTAGTTTTGGTAAATTAAGTAAGCCTTAAAGCTTTTATACAATTCATCATACGCTAATGGTGAAGCTTTGTCAATTCAACAGTCACATCTCTCGTGATAAAGTCCCAAATAACATTGATAACTTTAACATGGGCTTCTGCACTGGGGAAATAAGTTTACAATTCAGCGCGAAAGCCTAAAAATCCATAATTGTTGCACAAAATGGGTTTGGAAATAGTGCCGTGCACACTGCAATCACATGTGCAATGTACATCTTTATCAATGTAACTAAAACATGTTAGAAATAAATTCACTCTGATGAAATCTGGGCTTTATAAAGCATCTGAATACAATTTTATCCCAAGAGGCAGAATCCCCACGGAAAGGGACATCACAGTAGCACTCCCCACTCGCGAGTACACTTTCTGCTCCTGCAATATTAGAGTTGGGACTGCTGCTGGAGTAACGATTAATAAACTGGCCTTTCAATCCAGGGGCCACCGGTGTTGTGAAAATGTAAGCAGTTGGTAAGTTCCTCGAATTCCCTCACTTGTCCACCCAGCAGGATATATATGGGTACTCCATAGCTTGTACCCATTGGTGGGTGGGTTGCGTGCAGTGAGGAAAAAATGTGGGTACTCCCACCTCTTCCAAGACATCTGTCTGCATGGAATAGTTGGCCAAATCTAACCTATAAAGGGCTCTCTAGAGCTCCCTCAAGTGGAGGCCCTTCTGCCAGAAGTGTTGTTCGCAATCAATTGCAGGGCTGCACCTTCATCAACTTTTCTAAAATATGCATTCCAATGTATCCGGCTTATAAAAATATAACTATAATTTTAACTAAAACACAGATATAACAAGGGACATCACAGCAGTATCCTTCCTCCCCACTCACCTGCACAATTTACATTCCGCTATATTGGAGTTAGCGGCGTGGCACAGTACCTTTAAAAGCATGACACGACAGGAAATGTTTTTTTAATAATGGTTGAATTGAGTTGGGTCATGTAAACTTTTGCAGCCACCAGAAAGCGATATACTCACAGCAACAGATATGCTCAAAGGATTCCTGAATAAAATTGCAACTCTAAATGGAGAATTTATCAAATCGCTTGGGTCGTGACTATCGAAGGTGGACAATGGTTGCTGGAGGGGATGGTACAAGGAGAAGAGATGAACAAGACGAGAGGAGTAATATTTGTAAGGACGTACCCTTGACAGGTTGTTGAAAACTTAATTTCTTGCAAATTATCCACAGTTGGACTGGAAGTATAAAGAAATGGAGAACTTAGCCAATGTAGTCATATTCATGAGTGAGAGTGTGAAGTCTGGCAGAAGCTTTAAGAGACTTAAGCAGCGCACAGTGATTTAAGCCGATTGCTGGCGATGATGGAATTATGGCAATCAAGAAGACGCGTTATAAAAACGAGGCTTTTTCAGTTGTGATGTAAAAAAAAGGTGATTGTGGGAGACATTCAGACTTGAGGAAAGGAGTATAACTCCTCTGATACATGGTCATATTCATAACAGTACAAACACAGTTTGATAAATTGTAAAAAAAAATGCTTCATAAAGTATTGCACATTGATCAGTGTTACAATGCACCAAGTGGCATTGAACGCAACATTTATCAACCTTTTTAATGCCATTATATACATTATTGCTACAAAATGTTTGTCACGTCTGCAATGCACCTCTGCATATGAAAACCCTGCAGAAATGTACACCCGTATGGTGATTACATTTTTTCATATGAAAAGGCTATAGCTAGAACTGGTTTGACTTAGCCGAGACTAAAGAGGCAGGGGTTGGGAAAGATCTTCGGTGTGGCCGGAACCTGGGTGTAAAAGCAGCCTAGGCGAGGCAGTGTCAGACCATTAGAGAGCACTTCCCACCTCCAGTCAGCTCTGCAGCCAACCAGACTTCAAGCGAGGAGAAGATGACTCTTCCTTAACTGTGTTTCATTCTCCACAGTTTGATAGAATGATGTTTCGGCTAATGTGGGGTTCCTTCCTTTCCTGGTTGCGTGACGAGCGTTTTCCGCGTGGGAAACAAACTTGCGACACGCCTGGGAGAGTGGGCGAGGACGTGAGAGAAGCGACCGCAGGTCAGGCCGCAGTGCTTGGCCTCCGATCGCCGGCAAAGCGTGCAGCAGCGAATAAGAGTGGGTAGCGTCAGGGCAGAGACTAAGTTAAAGGAGACCCACGGTCATGCGGCACTGTTGTGCGCAGAAGATGCGGGCCGACTCACACCGGCTTCCACAGACAAAGCAAGATCCAATGCTTCATACGCAGGGAAGAGGTATAAATAGGGAGTTCCATAGTGAAGAAATGCCCAGTCTCGCCGGATAACACTTCGAATCCAACTCGTCCACACACCCCCGCGCGGTTCTCAACGGGCGCTCACCCAAGACTGTCATGAACAGTGTATTTAGAGCCTTTCCTGTATGCAGTAGTACGAATAATTGGTTATAGCCGTGCCATCAGGGGGTATGTAATAAGAAGGGTAAACTGTACCTAATGTGCTTGGAGTGTAGACTCCCATAATTTCCAGCTACAAGGGATAATAAATCCAACGGTATTGTCTTTCTGTTGCTGCACCCTTGCTCAACATATTATTTGTATTCTTTGGGTCTTTCGGTAAAGTCACGTAAACAGGTTCAAAGAAAATAAAAAAACAGCTAAAAACTACCACGTTTCGATCACAACACAAGCGATCGTCATCATTCACCCATACCCAGTCTGGTGAAAAGGATATTGCTAGAGGGACCTAGGGTTTAGAGAGAATGGGTTGGGTCCACTCTAGCGTGTGAAGTAATAACAATGTTGAAACCAATTATGCAAAAAATAATGCATACGAGGATAGATTACTCATTCAGCACATTTAGGTCAGTTACGTACTTGATATACTACAGATAGCAGTAATGCAGTGGTTTGTCCACTGCGCTATGAAGTCAGTGAACCGAGTTAAATTCGCTGGCCACAGCTAACATCAGTGACGAGTGATGTCTGATCCGGTCCCTATATTTACAAAAGCTTTCTTTTGTCTTCCCACTGCTGTGGAGTGATATTGTTTAACTTTGTAATAAAATAGCACATGGCTTTGGGTGATTTTCCTTTGAGCTCCCTCATTGGTGTACATGTAATAAACATGACGTAAAAACCGTTCAATAGAACAATACATCTTAAAGTTTCACTTTAAAGTATGTTATTTTAT